CAGAGCAGACCGCGTAGCGGGGCCCCGTGCTTGGCGGCGCGCCCGAGGGGGTAGGGAGAGGGGGGAAGGCTGATTATCGGGGAGGCGTAAGGCTCGGGTACGGGGGACGCGGGTTGGTCTGACGGGGTCCATCATAAAAACTAACGAGACGCCATCTGAAATTTGACGCGAGCTCCCACTGCAAACATCCCACGAAAACTGGACCGTCAAAATCCAGGACGCGCTCGTCAAAAAACGTCGGCAAACCCGAGTTCCGGCTTACCCGAGTCTTACGTTCCCCCGAGATTAGAAGGGGGCTGCTTCTTAGAAGGCGCGGGCCTTACATCTACAGACAAGGCCCACCCCTTCTAAGAAGCAGGGGTGCTTCTAAGAAGCCTTCCCCCCTCCCCCTACCCCCGTCTGCGCGTGGCCGACGTGTATAGAAAAAAGGCACCTCCTGGGAAGACGATTTCTGTGCGCGGCTCCCTCCCGCACAAGCTGGTCCGGCACAGGGTCGGCGCGCGGTGGAGGTGGCCAAAAGGTACCGATACCGCTACTCGCCAGACCTCTCCCGGGGTTCACTGTGGCCAAGATTTCGAAGCGAATCCGGCGGTGGCGACGAAGGCCTCCCAGGAGGCCCAAGAAGGGGAACACGAGGGAGCGGTAGCGGTATGGGCACCTTTTCCTCCTCTGAAGGCAACCGCGTGGTGGCGGTGACCATAGATCGGCCCCCAGAGGAGATGAGGCAGAGCAGGAGAATAACGCCTGCCACCGCGACGCTCAAAAGCTGTATCCCTCGCTTTGTGGCTGCCTGCGGGCTCAGGCGAACTGCAGGCAACCAAGGGGGAAGAGAGGCAAGGACGAACGCATCCGTGGCGGGAAAAAAAATAGTAAGCTGCACAGTCTGTAAACTGTCGGAACTCTGCGCGGATTCCTTCAGTCGGCGCTGGGCCCCTCTCTCCACATCCCCCCCGACCAGTGCGCGGAATGCGCGGGGGGGGCGCCGCAAGTTTGGACGCCCTAAACGGGTACGGACAAAAGAGATGGACACGATGCCCAGCAGCGACTGTCGTGGAAAACCGACAACGGCCAACGTTGGACGCGATGGGGTCGAATCCCAACCGGACCTTCCAGCTCCCAACTGGACGGTCCAAATCCCAATCGGTGAGAAAACCGGAACGGTCCGGATCCGAACGGCCAGACAAAGCTGTAAAGCGTTGCTATTGCATGGTCGCCTCAGCAATGAACACCGAATTGTTTCTCTTGGGGAAACTCGCTCGTATTTCATAATACGCAGTTGGGATCTAGACCGCTCCACTGCATTACTACATGCAAATTCCAAATACTCTAGGAGGGCAATACATAGGCTCAAGGCACTCCAAGGCGGCATTGTATACGAACGCGTACGGAACGTACGTATAAGAAACGCATGGAAAGCGTGTCCGAAAATGATCACAAACGCATGCAGACGTATATCCAACATGCACGCAAAGTATACGCAACGTCTATGAAACGTCTATGGTGGTAAACGCTCTTCAGGAAACCTCGCAAACCCCATGCAAATCTTTCAGGGATCCTCAGGCATCCCTCAAGAATCCGTGATGAATCCTAGGGATCATTGGGGATCGTCAGGAATCTCCGGGAATTCAAGAATGCATCAGGAAGCCCCACAAGAATCCTCAAGTAACCCTCAAGAACCCCTCAGGAACCCTGAAGAACCCTTCAGGAATCCTCAGGAAACCGTCGGGAATCCTTCAGGAACTGTCAGGAATCGCTCAGAAACCCAATAAGAATCGTCAAGAATCCTTCCAAAAACCTTCAATAATCCCTCAAGAAAACGCTGGGAATTCCGATGGAACCCCTTACGAAATCCTCTGGGATTTCCAGGAGTCCCCAGGAATCCCCAGTCATCCTGGACTTCGCAAGACTCCCTCCTCAGGAGCCCTCAAGCATCTGAAGGGAACATCCGGAATCTCCAGATGAAGCGCCTTCCCACCGCTTGGAGACTCAAACTATTCACTGCGTGGAGCTCCCCTATATGTGCATCTATTCGCATGGACCTGTCCGCCGTGAGTATCTAGGCGCAAGAATTTTCGAACATACGCGGGCTTCAGTTGTGACGGTCTGGTCATGAATCTGACTGCGAAATTGGAAAGTGTGAATTCATCTCAGTGCTGCGCATGAGCCTAGGACCTCCTGGGGCCTCCTGAAACCTACTGGGGCTTCCTGGGTTCTCCAGGAGCCTCTTGGGGCCTCCTAGGACCTCCTAGGGGGGTTTCGTGCCCCAGGAGAGGCCCAATCTATAGCAACATACGTACCTAAAACATTGCGGATTGGAGCCACAGGAGAAGGGGGCAATCTAATTGCGAAGGAACTGGAACATGTGAAGCAATCTCAGTCGTACGAGCGCGTCTCCGCGCACGAGCCCGGGGCCTCCTGGGGCCTCCTGAAACCTCCTGGGGCTTCCTGGGGGCTCCTGGAGCCTCTTGGGCCCTCCTGGGGCCTCTTGGGGCTTCCTGTG